CTACAACAAAAAGACATTCCAAAGTGTCAAAGACAGAGAAAGGAGAAAGGCCACATTTGAACATATCGATCATAAACGAGAAGGAAATCACCTTCGGTGAAACAGATAGAACAGACGTCGAGTATCCTCATCACGATGGATTGGTGATCAATCTTTACATCGCCAACCATTTTGTTAGAAGGATACCCAGTTAACGTCATACTCATGGACACTATAAAAAGGATGAACATCCCTAAAACCGAAATAGTCAAAAGATCCTCAGTGCTGATCGGATTCAGAGGTGAAACAAAACATCAGTCAGCAAAGTAAAGCTACCTATTTACATAGAGGGGGTAAACTCTATGCAACACTTTTGTGTAATCGATACATTATCCTCCTATAATGGTATACTAGGTAGACCCTGGATCCACGATATGAAGGTTGTCCCCTCGACATACCATCAATATTTTAAAATGCCCACTCCTTGGGGGACAGTAAAAATCACAGGTGGTCAACAAGAATCCAAGGAGTGCTACAAGACTTCGATGAAATATTCAACAGTACCATGACAAGGATAGAAATTAAAGTAGGGGAACGAGGTGTGCTGGAAACAAGAGAGAATGATATAAAGGAAGTGCACCTAAACCTCGAGGATCCTGAAGCTAAATTCCTCATAGGATCCTCGATGTCTAAACAAATCAATCAAAACTAATAAAATTCTTGAAAGATAGAAGAAAAACATTTACCTGGAAGCATGAGGATATGATAGGTATAGACAAGAACATTATAAATCATAAACTTAACATTGATCCTTCTTACAAACCAATGCACCAAACGAGGAGAAAGTTTGCACCTGAAAGAAACTAGATCATCCAAGAAGAAGTAGAAAGGCTCCTTAAAAAGTAATGATCAAGGAAGTCAAGTTCCCAAGATGGCTAGCCAACATGGTCGTCGTGCAGAAGAAGAACAAAAAATGGAGAGTATGTGTGGACTATACGAATCGGAATAAGGCTTTCCCTAAAGATCCTTTCCCCTACCACACATAGACTCCATGATAGATGCTATGGATAGCCATGAACTGCTAACGTTTATGGATGCATCAGCGGGGTTCCAGCAAATCCAAATGGAGCCATCTGACTAAGAGGATGCCCCATCCATTACCCCAACAGGTATAGACTACTATACCTGAAAGATCTAGTATGCTCAAGAATCATATTAAAGTGATATTGCTATTTAACATATGATACTAATGGGTCACACTAACAACAACTTGATACAATTGATTATTTATTAGAAATTGGTTCTAATAAATATTCAATAAAATCTTATAATTAAATTAGAAATTATTTTTTTCTAGGAAATAATAATTTTCATTAGTATCTCTAAAGTTCATCATTCTTCATCAACTTCCAAACTCCCAAGAGGATCCAAAGAACTATAAAGGTTGTTATTTATTCATCTTCTTCTTTGGTGCTTGTTTTCTTTCCAAACTGGCAAGATGATCCTTGGTGGGTTTAACTTGTTTATGTTGTTCACAAATGATCAAGTATTCTATTGCCAAATATTATGTTATTGAAACTAGCTTTTGAATAAAAAAACCCAACAATACTGTTATGCCCTTTGGTCTTAAAAATGCAGGTGCAACATACCAAAGGTTAGTCAACCAGATGTTCAAGGATAAACTGGGGGACACCATGGAAGTCTACATTTATGACATGGTTGTAAAATCTAAGAAAACTGAGGATCACCTTAAGGAACTTGAAGATGCCTTCAACATACTAGACGAATATAACATGAAGCTAAACCCTTCCAAGTGCCACTTTGGAATTAGGTCAGGAAAGTTCCTTGGATATATGATGAGTAAAAGTGGAATAGAAGCAAGTCTGGACCAAATAAAATCCATCACCGATTTAAAATCTCCATTATCGACGAAGGATATTCAGAGACTAACAAGAAAAGTAGCAGCACTTAATAGGTTCATCTCAAGATCCTCAAAAAGGTGCAAGCCTTTCTGTGATATCTTGAAGAAGAACAAAAGATTTGATTGGAATAAAGAGCACGAAGATTATTTTCAAGAACTTTAAAAATTATTTAAGTGTTGCACCCTTGCTAGTGAAACCACTAGATGGGGAACCACTCCTCCTATACCTTTCAGTATCCTCTAACGTTGTAAGTGCAATTTTAGCCAAGGATCTCAATGGGAACCAACAACTGATATACTACGTAAGTAAAAGTCTCCTGGATCATGATATCATGTATTCCCATCTTGAAAAACTAATACTTGCATTAGTAGCTACTTCCACAAAATTAAGACACTATTTCAAAACACATAATATACATGTGAGAACTAATTACCCCACCAAGAATGTTACGCGAAAACTAGAGATGCCGGGTAGGATGGCAAAGTGGTCCATGAAGCTAAGTACATATGACATCAAGTATGAACTAAGATCAACAATAAAGTCACAAGCACTAGCATACTTTATGGCTAATTTCAGTGATGATCTACAACCTGAAGCAAAGTTAGAAAGCAAGGAACTCCAGAAAGAAGAAAGCATGGGAAGACGGACACTCTTCACTGACAGATCCTCAAACTTTAGAGGAACATACCTAGGGATCCTACTAAAATCGCCACAGGGGGAAATCATACCCCAGGCAGTCAGCTGTGTATTCGATGCAACCAACAACGAAGCTGAATACAAAGCATTGATCATGGTATTACAACTCGCTAAAACTACAAGAAAAAGACCCTTTTACGACGCGCAAACCACGAAACTCATTGATTTATGTTACACAAAAGAGAGTGACATTAAAAAAGTGTCATCTCTTCAAAAAATTTAAGGATTTAGGTCACGCATTATTGCGTGCCCTTAAATTAGTGTCTCATGTAAAAAATTAAAAACACGGAGGGCACTTGTGCGTCCTCTGTGAGTGTCGTTTTATATTTTTTTAAGAAACGCGCGTTTCTCTTCTTAGAGGGAAAATGAAATCCCCAAAAATTTTAAACCCCGCTTTCTTCTCCTACATTCGTTTCGATCTGTCTCTAATATCTCTTCTCCTTCGTCTCCACCCCTCACCCACCTCCACTACCTCCAACCCACACCGACTCTTCAGGCCAACACGACGACGATGTACCGGCCTTATCGACCAACACTTCATGCACCATCACCATTTGTAGCTCTCTCACCCCATCCTCACTATTAAACCTTGCAAAATCCTTATATAACATTCCGACGACAATCAGATTCCGGCGCTCTGTGACTGTTGACAGGAGCAAAAACCTAATTTCAAGACAATGGCTCGTGTGTATAAGCCTTCGTTTTACAACTTCTATGGCGACCTCGAGCTCCGACAACCTCCGCTTACCTCTTCCTGTCGGCGACCTCGAGCTCACCTCACCTCACTAAGACCGTGATGACTGCTCAAGTGTACAAGCCTTCGTTTAAGAGCCAACCATTTACGGATACTCATGCTCACAAGACTATAATTTAGGGCTCGTTACATTGTGCCTATGTTGGACTTACAAGGACATTAAAGGTTTACGACTTCTCCCTATTGCCATATATGAAATAATGAAGCCCTAGATAGGTACGATTCAAGTATTGTGTAAGTTAAGCCCTAGATAGGTAGTTCAATCTCAAAATCCAACGACTGTTTGTTTCTTCAAAATCAAATGATTCTAGATCTTTAGCAACAGGTAATTCCAGAGAACATTGGGCCTCCTTTTGACTATGATCTATTCCGTCATCATCTGAATGGAAATTGTGTACATCAGAATCATCCATTAGCTTCACCGAAATCTTTATTTCATTCTCAATATCCGATGTCGAAGACTATCAGTTTGTCTCTTCAAAAACAAATCGTTCATTAAGGTGTACTGGAGTCGCATTTGCAGCAGGTCTGCTTGGAGCTTGCTTTCCTGGAACAGGTGCTCGTGTGGTGGCACTAATCAGAGGTCCCTGCACAGACGGCCCTGGTTCAGTAAGCCATTTTGATATCCTTTTTTCCATTGAATCATTTCTACTTCCCATGTAACCCAAACCTCCGTCCCCCTTCAATCTTCTTTCAGATTATCTCCAAAGATCTCTCAATTCCTGTTCGTTCACATAAAGATCTGGACAAAGATGTAGATCCTATTCAGGGGATCATAGGACCTTTCACATCCTTGGATAAGGTGGCAATTTAGTGATTTACTATATTGTTCATTAATCTTTACCAGTTTGTATATAACTTTTTTTGGCTATTTATGTTGTAGAAAGGATACCAACAATCTGTTTCTAACACGATATTTTGTCAATATATATTTAAGGTTGGGGGTAGATGACGTTGGAAAAAAATATTGTTGACTCTCATGTGCCTTCAAGCACCAGTCTTGCAGGTGATTTTTTCCAGAAATTGATGTTGACTTTTCAGTTATGATTATTGTCTTCTCCTTGCCATTCTATCTTCTATGATCAGACATATCCAAGGTACTGGTCTAGAAGGACATACCTGTTTCATAAAAGTCCTCAACAAATAAAGGGTGTGATATAGTACAACTCTTTGCTTCCCACGATAAGATTCTGGTTAGAAAAAAAATTGCAACTTCCAAATGTAGTGTCAAATGACACAAAAAACATCTTGAAATCCATCTTTTTTGGCCTGGAAAGGGGACTTACAAATATAATATGAGTATCTCAACCAGTTATGTACAACACATCATTGAAACATAACCATTAATAGAGAATAGGAAAAGAAAGCATCACCACTTATGCTGCTAAAATTCAGGAATTTATTGATAACTTATCAACTACTTGAGATAGATTCAAGATAAAAAAAATATTTGACGAGCATTCTGATAATGAATTATATCTAAATATGATCCAAGTTTTTGAAAAAAAAAAGTTCTCAGTTAATATAGATTGCAACTATTTTTTTTCCTTTATTGACAGCATATGTACTTCCAAGTTGGTAATCTTTAATCCATTTTCTGATCTTACTGGTGTGATGTTTGCAGCGATTTAAGTTATGATGATAACAAAATGAATCGAATTTGGAGAATACACTTTGCTTCGGATGTAGAAAGGGAAGGCCCAAACAAGAAACAAAAAAAAGATGACATTGTTGTTAGCTCTTCCAAAGATACAACATCTTCATCAGCATGGCCATGGCAGAAGATGGTTGAAAATTTAAAGTTGGCTCACCAAAAACTTCCCGTTATCATTGATCTCATTAACATTGTAAGTCATCATGAAGTTATTACCTTACCTTTTTCAATTGATATAAACCAAATTTCAGAATAATAATTATGGAATACATACATACTATTAATTTAAATATTTTTCTTCTTCTATGATTTCAAAGTCAAGGTTGATTCAAATAAAATTGAAATGATCATTAGTATAATAGCTGGTGTGCCATCTGTTTGCCTTATTATCTGAGTTTGAAATTATTTTTAATGTATGATGCTTGCAAGTTTTTCTTTCCATCAATGGAACTATCATCACAGGGTGCTACAGTTCTAAATTTACGTAGGAGCGGTTTTTTGTTTGATTCTTCCTTATCAATTTGTGTAACCATTTCTTGTAGTTTTAGTTGTTATTCTTTTTTTAGTTTTGTAATTTGTTACATTTTGGTGATTAACTGTTTTGTAATGTGTATTTGCAGGTCCACAGAAGTGAGCAGGTTGGAATAGGTGACCCAAATTATGGAGGTAGCTACAGATTATCATGTTTGATTGAGTTTAACAGAAGATTGTGGTTTGAGGTTTGCTTAAACTGACCCTGTGCTGAACTGTTCTTTTTAGCATGTATGGAGATACTCCAGGCTCAAGAAACAATGTTGCTTTTCGACCCAGAGTTCCAGGTGGAGCTCTAATTCCAACTAATTTGATTTTTATTATTATTCTCCGATCATCATACTTTGTAACAAATCTTTTTGCAGATTCTCCCAAGTTCTTTTTCTGTAATTATATGTTTCTGTGTTTGAAAAAATGTTTGGTTGATTATCATTTAATTTGTAGGAAAATATTACAAAACAATGGAGAAGCCTGATTATCTCAAGTTTGAAGTTGCCCAACTTGGTGAATCCAAAACATTCGATGAAGGATTCCATGGTGCATATTTGTAATTGTACTGGTCAGAATATATTTAGTTTTTTTTCTCCAAAGTCGGTTTGGGGAATCATTGTTTTGTATACTAATGATATGTTCTACTGTTATATCTACAAAATGGTTATCATGTGCATTTGTAGAATGATAGGTCAAGGGAACACCACATCATGGAGGCTATGTGGACTTGATAAAGACATTTTTTTGACTGTTTTCTTTGATATATCATCAAGTGATAAAGATCCTTCTGGAAATGTAAATCCACAGTTGTATATACAAACCACCACAAGGTAAATCCACAGTTGTATATATTTTTCAGATTGGATCTTCGCCTGGATTTGAAGATGGAGAGTTTGAATCTTCTAAAATAATCCACCTTGCTGCTTTGTTTTATCACAATGAGGATGATTCCCTCTATCTTGTTGACTCGGAGGTATTCTTTTCTAAATGAATAATTACAAATATATTGATAGGCGATGGTCTTATTATGGCTTTTACTTTTCATATGATGAAAGAATCATGCTATAAGGAGAGCTGATATGGAGAGCAAGATAGTTGAGACATTATATCCGAAACCTAATGTCAGTGAGACAAAAAGTGGTTTAGTGAGTTGGATCATTGATAACATTTGGAGTACGAATGACATTCCTTCAAATTCTGAGGAAGTTGATCCTAAATTACTTTTTTACCCCTGTCATCTTCTCAAGTCACTGGAAAATGACCTCTTTATTCTCAACCGCAGGTAAACCACATTTTACATGTCATATTTTAATTAACAAGATATAATGTTAAGTGTTATGTGTTAATCTCCTATATAATGTTTTCATGCAGTTTTCAAACTTTATGGATCTTGGATCTGTCATCTGGTATCATTAAAGAAGTGGTCAAAGGTTTGCTTTTATTATCTAGATGATGATCTTTCGACATTTGCAATTAATTATCTCGTTAGTTATTAATCGTTTATGCTGTGAAGGATCTGCAAAGCTTATATAGATCTGTGGACAGTTGATAAAGGAGAAATTATCCCTTATAAAAGAAATACCGCCTAGTCAGCTTCCACAAAATGATTTCTCGGTGGAAGGTATTTCACATGCATGTCTGCTCTCTTCCGTGGCAACTTTTCAGGACAATATCGTAATTTGTGACACATGTAAAATTAAATATTTTCTTTTTCCTTTAATTGATGAACTACAATATCCTATAAACAACGAGAGTGGTTAGATGGTTAGGTGGTGCTGAAATACAACAAAACTTGTGACTCAATGACAAGCTTCGAGTTCTCAAATTTTGGAATGCTTGGATTGCTATACTGGTTGGTCCCCCTTATGGAATCAGCTTATGCTGCGTGAGTAATCTTATTCTATTTCTACAACCCATTACGCGACCCGACCTGTTTAGGACACTCATGTATGTATACCTTTTTCTACCGATTTGACAGTGGTTTTGGTGTCTCGGGACTTCAAGAATCAGAAATCCTTACATAAATGGTATACATATTACATATATACTTCTTATCAAAATATTTAATTTTTAATTGCTATCAATTCAATATCATACTCTATCTTCTCTTAGTTTTAATGTTATTGTTCTTGGTATGCTTTTCGCATTGTCATGCAAACAAAGGACATTCTAATGGATGTATTTTTACACTTTTTGCATTCAAGTGTATGTCTCCATCAGGTAATTAATTTTGATCATGTATCTTTATTGCTATTAAACACTACTATGATTATAGAATCCTGATACATTAGTAATAATCATTTTTTTTATGTTTTCAGCTATTAAACACTACTATAGAAGAAGAGGACCTTGCTGTGTTTACAAGCGACACACTGGTGGGTGTCTCTTGTAATTTCTTGATGTATATTTTGGGCTAAATGCTACTTTCATTTTTTTTTATGATGATGTATTTTTTTGGTAGTTTGTTGCTGGTTGTGGCAGTTTTTTGAGGGGACAGCAGGATAGATGCATGAGTCACTGTGTGACTTTGGCTTCTTTGCCAAAACCAACTAAATTTACTCCGATCTGATCTACCTCAACTTTAGGTACTCTTGCTGTTTTTGACTTTTTTTCATATAGTTTGGAACAAGAAATGTCTTATTTCGACTTCAATTATGATGCAGGAGAAAGTTGGGCAGCAGGACAGTTGTATGCTCCTTTTATGTTCAATTTTCCCTTTCTTTCTTTCTTATCTTTTTATTTTTTATAATATAACAGTTGTGTTATTTGAGCTTAAATCCCTACATTATACATTTGCTTAATTAGGTTTGTATAAAACCTGTGGTTGCAGGAATCCCTTAAGAAGTGTTGTAGCCAGCGTGTTTTCCTTATATGGTTTATTGGTGTAAGAAACATCCGCTCACCCTTTTGGTGGTTGGCCGGTCCTTAAATGGGAAACACCTCTACTATTGGTAAATTTTATTCACTTGAATAACTTCTAACTTCTAACAATCTGACTACATTTCTTAATGGAACCCGGAACACCACAAAGTTATCTGCTATCGATACACACTTGTGCAAATATTTTCAATGCAGAGCAGGTTTTAATGGAACCCGGAACACCACATGGATCAAATATCATATCTCAAGTGCGGTCCCACATTCTTTGGATGGATAAAAGGGTAATTTCGTCTTTTACAACTAACATTCCATGTTTGATTCTTCTAATAATTATATTAGCATATTAATATTTTGACTTTTATTTGATCAGGTCACAAGAATTATCGAAGCAGGGGTTCATTAGTCTTAAAGAATTATGAAAGGCAAGATGCAACTCTACTTAGTCGGAATTTGATGTTTATCATCTTTGTGTATATCTTTTTAGTTTGTATAGCATTACATTGCAGAAGGTGTCCCTTGATACGCAATGTAGTATGAGGTTATATAGTTAGGAAAAACCTCTTAATAACAATGTACAATTAGATCCCATTAATCTCAATGTATTACAATTTTTTGACATGATGTTATTGGATGAAATTGATTGTTTATGTATATATTTGTTTACATATTTTTTTATTATGCGTAAATAAGTATCGTAAAGACGTGTCATAAACGCATATCGTAAATGGTTACTGAAGTTTTTGACACGCAAATGCGTGTCATCTTTATTTATGGCAGGGGCTTCCTTGATATGCATTGTGTGTCATAAACACGCGCGTCGTAAGGTTACGACACGCAAATGTGTGTCGTCTTCCTTTCTGACAGTGCCTTCCTTGATACGCATTGTGTGTCGTTACTGCACGTCGTAAATGCATGTCATAAATGCGCGTCGTAAATGTGCGTCGTAAATAGACGACGCGCAAAAGTGTGTCGTCTCTCGTTATGACAGGGCCTTCCTTGACACGCATTTGCGCGTCGTCTCAGTGTTTTACGACACGCATTGTGCGTCGTAAAAAGGCTGTTTTTCTAGTAGTGTAAGGATCTTCAAATCAAGGATCTTCACGTATTCGTTGACTCCTTATTACTAACTAATCATTTTAATGGATCCTATGTAGTAAAAGGTGAAAGATTAGCACTATACCTCCAAATCCTCAAAAATTTGGCCTCTAAATTTCAAGCTTTCAGCCTAAGCCAAGTTCCCATAGAAGAAAATGTTGAGGCAGACGCACTAGCCAACGTAGGATCTTCCCTTAGGATCCCGCCAGAAATCAAGATCCCTATAACCCATATACTGATCCCAACGATAGAAGACCCCTCCAACAAATCAGATGATCCCAATCACCATGAACAAACAACCAACATGGCAATAATCGAGCATCCTGACCCTCAACCACTTCCTTAGAATCCTAACCGCCAGGGTCCCAACATTTAGAATCCTCTGCAGCGCTCCAAATCTTGGATCCAACCCATTGTGGAATATCTTCAAAATGGAACAATCCCAAGAGAAGAAAAAAGTGAGAGAGCATTCAAGATGAGGATCTCATAATTTGTGATGATCCAAGGAAGCCTGTATAAGAAATACATGACAGGTCCATACCTTAGATGCTTAGAAGATCACGAAGCTGCAGAAGTCCTAAAAGATATACATGAAGGAGATTGTGGAAACCATATTGGGGGAAGATCCTTATGCTCCAAAGCATTAAGGACCGGATACTACTAGCTAACAATGAAAAAGGATGCTTTCTTGCATGCCCAACAATGTGATGCTTTCCAAAGACATAGCAATATCCTACATCAACTAGCAGAACCATTACATACTATCATTTCCCCTTGGCCATTCATGAAATGGGGAATGGATATAGTTGGCAAGTTACCAATGGCCTCTGGGGGAAATGTATTAATGTTAGTGATGATAGATTACTTCTCGAAATGGATAGAGGTTGAAGCCTTTTTTTCAATTACGAGACAAGGAAGTGGTGTTGTTTATCAAACGGAATATCCTGACAAGGTTCAGGATCCCTGCTGAGATCATATGCGATAATGGATCTCAGTTCATAAGCAAAAGGACTAGAGGCTTTTGTACGAGTTGGTGGATTAAAATGATAATGTCCACTCATGTTCACCCTCAAGCTAATGGTCAACCTGAATCTAGCAATTAGATCATAGTCAACAATCTAAAGAAAAGGTTAGATGAGAAGAAAGGAAGATGGGCAGAAGAACTTCCTCTTGTCCTGTGGGTAGATGGGACCACTTCAAAGGCAACCACTGGCCAAACTTCATACTCCTTGGTGTTTGGAACAAAATTCGTGATCGCTACTGAAGTAGTAATCCTAACAGCAAGATATCAGTTACAGGGTTGAAAGAACAACGATATGATCGTAGCCCATGATCTTGACACTATCGATGAACTCAGGGATCTTGCCAAGATCCAGATTGTTGCTCATGAACAAAGGATCATTAAGGCATACAACAAGAGCATCAAATTCAGAAGGAAAACATTCTACAATACCAAGGATCCTAGTGGAGGGAAGTTGGCACCTAAACGGGAAGGACCGTATCTTATTGAATCAAAAGCAGGAAAGGGGGCATATTGGCTAGCTACCCTTGAGGGTAACATCTTGCCAAGATCATGGAATTCCACCTATCTAAAAGCATACTTCATGTAAGTTATATCAATCATTTTCGAACAAACTCAAGGTACACTCTCTATACCTTCTATTTTCATTTATTTCTTTTTATTCCTATGAGAACCAATACTAACTTAAGCATCGAAGGGGCGTTAGCTGAGCTAACGCCCACCTCAAGCTAACGTTTTATATATTGGATTTTGGTATAATACAACATCCTATGGTGCACATACAACCCTAAATACCTTGGATCTATGTTTTCACTAATTATACATGCAAATGGTTTCCAAGGCATTAAACCTATAACTAGCATGCATTTGACATAAACCATATAATATACTAGTTAGGGAAACATACCTTTTATGTGGCTTGAAGTCTTGATGTATTTGGCCTTAAGAGCTTAGCACCAATAGTATGAAATGCCTCAAATGGAATCACAACACACCTAGGACAAAGGTGGCTCTTGAGAGAGAATTCCATGCACCAAAACACCTCCATATTTCTCTAAGAAAAGAAGTGGTGATTTTGGCTATGGAGTAACCTATTTATATGTAGGATTCCAAGGGTCATGGGTATAACCCATAATCCATACCCATGGGTTTTATGATCCATGGTTTATGTGGCCCAACTCTTTATGTATCCATACATAAACTTGGTCCAACATGGATCATAAGCCCAACACATATAAATATAACTAATTATCATAATTAGTACCCATAGATTTAATTAGTCTTTTTTGATCACTAAATTAATTCCAAATTAATTCTTGATCGATACTAAATAAAACATATGATTTCATATTAATATATTATAGCTTATAATATATTAATAAACCATAAATAACCTTCTCTCAAAAGTCCATCCTAACAAATTGTCCTTATGATATGCAACCCAAATGGACCATGCTACTCTCGGGTCAAGTACATACCAATAATAGTTATGGGCTTAGACATCTAATCGAACAGTCTCCCACTTGGATAAGTCTAA